AGGAAGGAGAGGAAGGAGACAGGTTTCGGCCCCTGGGGTGGGGGCCCAGCCCCCCAACCCCTGCCCCCCGCCAGGAAGGAGCCCCCTAGCAAGGGCAGGGCTGTTGGAGAGGACTTCAGGTTCAACTACAAGCAGTTCATGAAGACGGCCTCCCTGGATGCCGACACTGGCAAGACCAGGGCAGCCTCTTCCCTGGTGAAAAATGTCCTCGCCAAGAAAATGCAGTACGAGCAGATGATCAAGATGGAGCAGAAGGGGCTGCGGGGCAGCTCAACCTCCTCGGGGCTGTCCTCCATCGGCACCGACCTGCTGGGGGATGGCTTGGAGGGCAAGTCCAGCTCACTCTCCCGCTCGGACTGCAGCTTCTCAGCCGAGGACCTGCGGGGTGGCGGGATGCCGGTGGCCGTGGGGGATGTCACCACCACCCGTCCCACCAAGGGGGTGGTGCTGAGCGAGGAGATGAGGGAGAGTGTCTGCAAGCTGAAGAAGACCTTCAATGAACTCAATGAGAGGATGAAGTACCAGGAGGTGCTGGAGGGCCAACGGCTGCCTGTTGCCACCGAGGAGCCGGCGACGGAGAGGATCCGCTACCGGCGAGCACGTGCCTTGTTCGAAGCCCACCCTGGGGCGGGGAAGGCGCTGGATGTCGCCCCCAGATTTGACAGAGTGCCGAAGCCATGGCCCAGCTTGAAGCAGCGAGCCATCCGCCGCAGCCACCCCCAAAGCCTCCCCTTGGAGGCCAAATGCCGAGCGTTCCCCACCACGCCGCCCCGGCACCTCTTCACCTCCCAGGCACAGGAGGTGAGGCTGGTGCCGCAGAGCCGGCAGGAGGAGAAGCCTCCAGCGGTGCCCCACAGGCCGCCCAGCCCCGGCACCCCAGCCCGGGAGTCCCTGCCAGCTGCCCCCCCCAAGGCAGAAGATAAGGGGAAGGGGCGCATCCCGCAGCCCCGGGACGTGCGCAAGCTGGTGAAGAGCAGCTACAGCCTCTGCTTTGGGACTGCCGGCGCATCCCGTGGCAGCCACCCCCCTTGTCATCCACTGCACCTCGGTCTGCCGCCGGGAGCCAGCGATGGAGCCGGGGGACGGGGAGGTGCTGGCAGCTGCCAGTCAGGAGCCAGCCCCGGCACATGCCGAGGGCCCTGCAAAGCTCGCTGGCGGCCAGCCCTCGCCCACCCAGGGCTCCCCCGTCCACATCACGAGGGTCCAGGCCACGCGGAGGGGGGCGGCCACTGCAGAGGGGCCGCCGGCATCCCCCCCACGCCGGGAGCGGAGTGAGCTCAGGGTGCCGCCACGGGCACCAGTGGCCGAGGGGGTGCCGCACATGGAGACCCATCTCCACGTCCTGGTGGGCCGGCGGTCCCCGGCAGCAGCTGGGGAGGGCTCCCCAGCTCAGAGCAGTGCCATGCTGCGGACGGAGAAGACCGTTCTCCTCCCACCACCGCCGCCGAGTCCCACGGAGGGAAAGGATGGACGTGGCCATGGTGGCACTGGGGGCGTCCGCACCACTGAGGGGCCTGAGTCAATGGTGCAGCGGCATGGCGGCAGGGACGGCGGGGACCCCCAAGCCGGACCCCCGGCCAGCAGCGGTGTGCACCCACAGCCTGGGAAACCAGCAGAGAGAAGCACACCGAAGCCACCCACGAGCGAGCAGGTGTCGGCAGGGAGCAGCAGCTCTGCGGACAGCACCAGCCCCACCACCCCATTTCAAGCCGGGGAAGCCAGCAAAGTTCCCTCTGGCCAGTTGCCAGAGTGGAGGGAGGCCTGGGAACATTTACCGAAGTGGCCAGCAGCCACCGAGCCGTACCTTCCTGCTTCCCCAGCAGAGAATTCCAACTACTTAGCAATTCCTGTGAAAGCCCCCAAATCCTCTCTGATGCCAAAGCTGCCCTCGGTCCCCAAGCCAGACAGCGCATCCTTTGGGACCCCTGTGGTCCCCAAGCCAGACAGCGCATCCTTTGGGACCCCCGTGGTCCCCAAGCCAGTCAGCACATCCTTTGGGACCCCCTTAGTCCCCAATCTGGCCAGCACATCCTTTGGGATTCCTTTAGTCCCCAACCCAGCCAGCACATCCTTTGGGACCCCCTTGGTCTCTAATCCAGCCACCACATCCTTTGGAACCCCCATGGTCCCCAGCCTGGCCAGCACATCCTTTGGGACCCCCTCAGTCCCCAAGCCAGCCAGTGCCTCCTTTGGGACCCCCACGATCCCCAACATGGCCAACTCATCTTTTGGCTACCCATCAGCCTCCAGCCTGGCCAGCACATCATTTGGGGCTCCCTTGGTCTCCAACCAACTCCAACCTCCAACCAACAAGTCTTTTGGAACCCCTTTGATCCCCTACGCAGCTAGTGCATCCTTCGGGACCCCCTTGGTCCCCAATCTGTGTGGTGCACCCTTTGGGACCCCTTTGGTCCCTAACTCAGCCAATGCATCCTTCGGAACCCCCTTGGTCCCCAATCCATCCAGCGCATCGTTTGGGACCCCCTCAGTCCCTAATCCGGCCAACTCATCACTTGGGATCCCCCTAGTCCCCAACCCAGCCAGCTCATCTTTTGGGTCCCCATTGGTCACCAACCCTGTCCCTGCTTCCCTTGGGCGCCCATCAGTCTCCAACATGGCCAGCTCATCCTTTGGCTCCCCTTTGGCCCCCAACCCAGCCAGCGCTCCACTGGGGACCGGTATGTCCCCCCTGGCCAGTGGGGAAGCACCCTGGAGCAAACCCAGCCCTGAGTGCCCCCTGCCGCAGCCTACTGAGGGCCTGGCCGCTGGGGAGCGCCTGGTGCCACTGCCCCCAGCCCAGCCCCAGCCTCGCCCCGAGGACGCTCCCCACTTCCTAAGGAGGACTGATGGCGCCTCACCGAGCAGTAAGAGCACACCGAGTCCCACCAAGCCCTCTGCTCCCCACCTGCCCGTGCACCGGAGGTTGCTCGTCGATCCCGACAGTGGGAAATGCTACTACATGGAGCCACCGCGGCAGCCACAGCTGAAAACACTCTACGACCCCGAGACAGGGCAGTACCTGGAGGTGCTCATCCCGCCGGTGGCATCACACGCTGGGCTCTACCAGGCTCCTTTCAACCCCCTGGTCATGGCCCCAGGGGTCTATGCTCCCCCCTATGTGCCCTACGGCACCTTCCCAGGGCTCCCGGCACCACCGCCGCCTGCCGCCCCCTCCCCGGCACACCCTGACCTGCCAGCTGCTGAAAACCCAGGCTTCCCTGGGACCTTCAGCCCTGCTCCCAAGGGCGAGGGGCCACCCGCTGCCGGGGGTCCTGACTGCGGATACCTGGAGAGCCTGTACTACATCCCCACGGGGATGCGGGCCAGCCCCGGCCCCAGCCCCGGCCAGCCCCCTGCCCGCACCAGCCCTGCCGGGCCCGAGAAGGGACCGCTGCTCCAGATGTGACGGTCCTCAGACGGGGACGGACCCGCGTGGCGTGTCCCTTCCCAAGCGGCCAGGCTTTAACCCCAAAGTCAGCATCTCCACCGGCATGGGAGAGACCCCCCCCTGCCCGCAGCTGAGCTGGTGAAGCACCGAGGGGTAACGGGCACCAGCTGGACCTCACCGGCTCCACATGGGAATGGGGAGAAAAAGAGTATTTTTCCAATGTAAGCACCTGGCAGCCCCGGGGTGGGGGCTTGAAGTTACGGGCCCCGGCTGGCAAAGGGACCAGATGCACAGCCCCTGCTTCCCCTGTACTGCTGGTCCTGCCCCGAGGGTGACCCGGGCTGGTCGGCACAGGGAGATGATGGCCCGGCCACCGCCAGCCCCCCACAGCCACGGCTACGGCACAGACTCCCTAAAATAGTAATAAAAATGCTGAAACAGCATTAAATCCTGCATATTCATCCCGTGTTTGTGTAGTCTGTAAAGGTCCCATCGCAGCCCCATTGCAGGAGCGGAGGCACTCAGACCCTGCAGTCCATCTGTCTGTCCTGGAGCACCCACTGGGTGAATCCCTGGTCCCCCGGGGGCAGGAGGCGACTTTGCGGTCAACGGTGATCCCTGAACCCCAGCCCTTGAACCCACAGCCCTGAACCCTGAGCCCCAGCCCTCGAACTCCCAGCTCTGAGCCCCAAACCCCCGCCCTGAACACCGGTCCTGAACCCTAAAACCCAGCCCTGAACCCCAGCCCTGAGCCCCCAGCCCTTGAACCCCAAACCCCAGCCCCAGCCCCAGCCCAGGAGGGTCCACGCCATCCCAGGGGGGATTTGGGTCGAGGAGGAGGGGTCAGGCGTTACAGGCCTGAATTTCACCAAAAAAACCTCCCGGAGAGGGGACAGGCGGCTGGGGACACCCCATGCACAGACACACCTCCCGCCCCGACACCCCGGGGATGGATGGGACCACATCAGCCGGATGCAGGTGCATCCGCCACACATCAGTGCCCTCTTGCCAGCCCCGGGGGGTTTATAGCCACCCCGCGCCTTCACCCGGGCACTTTTGGCATCGTGGCAGGATGCGGCCGGCGCTGGCGGTGTGGCTGGCCCTGAGTCTGCTGGCAGGGACAGGGGCCGAGGAGATGTGTGGGGGCCACCCCGCCGCCTCATCCCGCTCCATCCCTGCGCCCCAGCTCAGCCCCGAGGAGCGGCTCTCACCCCACATGCCCGAATCCCTGCGCTGCGACGCCTGCCACGCCATCGCTTTCCAGGTGGGACTTGGGGAGACGGCACCCTGAAACCGGGGGTGAGAGCCCTTGCGGGAATGCTCCAGCCTGGGGAGATGCTGCTGGCTTCCCTGGGGCACCCCGCTGATGGCTGCCCCTCACGGCACCCCAAAAAAGGCCTTTGGGGCCAGCGAGCCCCCCTTGCAGCTACTCATGGACTCACCACCCCGTGCAAAAGTGCTTCAGGTGCCAGGGCTGAAAGAAAGGGGGTGCAGACCCCGTCGCTGCTTGGGAGCAGGGTCGTGGGGAGGCTGCCACCCTCACTGGCCCGGTTCTGCCCTCTTTCACCCCAGATTGAGGAGCAGCTGCGCAGGGCAGAGGGGAAGGTGGGCAGGAAGGCACTGAGTGAGCCCGACTACGTGGAGGTGCTGGAGAGGAGCTGCTCGCAGGGCTGGGAGAGGTGAGTGGGGCATCCCCAGGGACCAGGGCATCCCCAGGGACCAGGGTGTCACCAACCCCTGCCTCTCCCCACAGCTACGGGGTGCAGGAGCTGGACGGGGAGAAGCGGCTGGCGGGGCCGGGTCTGCCGAGACAGGAGTCCATGACCGTGATGGTGATGGGGGGACCCTGGCCAAGCAGGTAAGTCGGGGGGTCGGCAATGGAGGTGGGTGCCAGGCACCGTCCCCTTGCCACCATGGCAGGGGGACAGACGCGGCGTGACCCTCTCCGGCTCCTCGCAGGCTGTCCAAGATGTGCCACGGCTACGTGGGTGAGCGGGGAGAGGCGCAGATCTACGGGGCACACCGGCGGGGGCCAGCCGCCTTGCGGGAGCTGCTCTGCCACGGGGAGAAGGGGGCCTGCGCCGGCGGCAAGGCCAGGGGGCCAGCCGCACCCAAGGCGATGCAGAACGAGCTGTAGTCCCAGCGCGGTTAATGCTTAATGCTCCAGCGACCTTCGGAGCCGACTTCGTCCCCAGTGAGAGCCAACACACGCCGGGAGGTGGGCACCTTCCCAGCATCGCCCATCACCAGCGTTGCGACCATCCCTTGACACCCAGCCCGGCCGTGCCGGGACAATGCCAGTGGCAGCTGGTACCCCACCCCGCCGGACCCCCTGCGAGCCGGGAATTACTCTATAACCCGCCGGCTCTAATGTTTTACCAACGTGGTGCTCGCGGTGGGAGCGCCCCGGCCCCGCTGGCGGTGCCAGCCCTAATTAAAGGAGTTAATAGCTGATCCGTCCCCAAGGCAGCACTTCCCGGTTTCACAACCGGCAGCCAATGGCCGCCTTCCAGCCTGCTGCCCCGCGCCACAGCCCGAGTGGTGACTAAAGTCCTTCCCATGGCCATAAAACCCCCTGTGCGGTGACATTGCCGCTGGGATCGCATCGCCGGAGGATGGGGACCCGCTCAGGAGACCTGGCTCAGCCCCAGGTGAACACAGCTTCCGTCCCCATCCCACCCCTGTCCCCTCCTCAGCTGTTTCCCAGGGCAGCGGGGAGGGCAGTGGGTGGCCAGGGGTACCCACCCCAAATGATGGCCAGCTCGGGGCTGTGATGCCCAGCCGGGGCTGGCAAGGGATGGGAGGAGCGCGAGGGCCGTGGTGAAGCCTGGGACCAAGGGGACATGCTGGGATGCTGCGGCTGGGACTGGCTGTGCCATCCTTACTGGCACCTGTGGGCTGGTCCGGGCACCCCAGGGCCAGTGGGACCCCCCCCTCCACTCTCCCCTGGGGACAAACCATCACGCAGAGACAGCAGCTTTCAGAGCCCAGACCCCTCTCAGGGGCAGAGCCGGTGCCGGGTGGGGCTGACCGGCTGCGTGTGCCAAGCTGTGGCCCGGTGGCCCTCGCGTCCCCGGGGCAGAGCCCATCCCTGTTCCCATGGGACACCCAGGACAACACTGACCCAGCTCCCGCCTCGCCCTCACTGCCAGAACGGGAACTCAGCTCTCACCCCCGCCGGCCCCCCGCATCCCCCTGGGAAGAAGCTGCCTGCAGTGGGCAGGGTGAGTACCAGGGCACCCCCGCACAGCACTCACCCCAAATCCTTCTGTAATGCACTGTTGGATGGAGACCAGCCAGCCGGGACCCCTCCCCATCCCTGAGGGCGCAGGGGGTCCCATGGGGCAGTCTGTGCCACCCGTGGGGACAGTGCGGGGTGTCCCCCCGGCCCCAGCCCCCTGGGGCGAGCCGGGGCTGAGCTGTGACCCCTGCACGCCAGGACCCCGGGGCGGGCGCCGGGCCCCCCCGGACGGAGATGGACATGCTCTACAGGATCGAGGACGTGCCCCCCTGGTACCTCTGCATCCTGCTGGGCTTCCAGGTACAGCCTGGAACAGGGGTAACCCCCCACCGGCAGACCCTGAGCCCCTGTTCCCCGCGGTGTGGGGCACCCCACGGCACCTCAGCCCACTGAGCCCCTCTCACCCCCCAGCATTACCTGACCTGCTTCAGCGGCACCATCGCCGTCCCCTTCCTGCTGGCCGAGAGCCTGTGCGTGAGCAAGGACCAGCTCACTGTCAGCTACCTCATCGGCACCATCTTCACCTGCGTCGGCATCACCACCCTCATCCAGACCACTGTGGGCATCAGGTAGAGCCACGGCCCCAGCGGAGACCCCCCTGCCTGTCCCCAGGCCGTGGGCGCAGGCGTCCCCTCTCATTCCCCCCCCAGGCTGCCCCTCTTCCAGGCGAGTGCGTTGGCCTTCCTCGTCCCCGCCAAGTCCATCCTGGCCCTGGAGAAGTGGCAATGCCCCCCTGAAGGTGAGGGCAGAGGGGATGCAGGGGGGGTGTCCGGCAGCTCCCCACCCACCCCAGGGACCACCTCACCCCCCTCCATCCCCAGAGCAGATCTACGGCAACTGGGCGCTGCCGCTCAACACCTCCCACATCTGGCAGCCCCGCATGCGAGAGGTACGCCCCGCCGCCATCCCCGGGGGGCCCCAAAATCCCCCGCAGGGTGCTGACCCCCTTTCTCCCCCCCTCCATGCTCTGCAGATCCAGGGCGCCATCGTGGTGTCCAGCCTGGTGGAGGTGGCCATTGGGCTGCTGGGGCTCCCCGGGGCGCTGCTCAGCTACATCGGGCCGCTGACCGTCACGCCCACCATCTCCCTCATCGGGCTCTCCGTCTTCCAGGCAGCTGGCGAGCGGGCCGGCTCCCACTGGGGCATCGCTGCACTGTACGGCACAGGGACGGGGATGGGGAGTGTCCCTCATGGAGCCAGAAGCATGCTGGGGGCATGAGGGACCTCATCTCTCTCTCCCCGCAGGACCATCGTCCTGATCATCCTGTTTGCCCAGTACCTGCGGCATGTCACCATCTGCCTGCCCGGTTACCGGCAGGGCAGCGGCTTTGTCCTGCTCCGCGTCCAGATCTTCAAGATGTTCCCGGTAGGGACTGGCCGAGAACCAATGGGTCCTGGGGGGGGGGGGTTCCCAAAAATCCCCCTTTTTTCCATGCATGGGTTTGCAAGCAATGCAAGGTGCGTCCCTGGTCTCTGCCCCTGCAGATCATCCTGGCCATCATGGTGGTGTGGCTGCTCTGCTACGTGCTGACGCTCACCGGCGTCTTCCCCAGCCAGCCTGAGGCGTACGGCTACAAGGCCAGGACAGACGCCCGGGGGGAGATCCTGTCCGTGGCACCTTGGTTTCGGGTCCCCTATCCCTGTAAGTGAGCCCTGCAGCATGCGGGACCCCCCGACACCCTTTTGCCCCAGGGGATGCGGGGACCCAGCACAGCATCAGTGGGGCTGGGGACCCCAAAGGCACTGGTGAGCACCAGGGGGGCCGGGTCCAGGGTGCCCCCTACCCTGACGCCCCGCTCTGCACCCCGGGCAGGCCAGTGGGGTCTGCCCACAGTGACCTCGGCAGCCGTGCTGGGCATGTTCAGCGCCACGCTGGCGGGCATTGTCGAGTCTATCGGGGACTACTACTCTTGTGCCCGACTGGCGGGAGCCCCCGCTCCCCCCGTGCACGCCATTAACAGGTACGGCCACTGGCCCTGCCGGTACCCTGCCCATGCCATGGCACCCCTGGGCCCCGGGCAGGGACACCGCAGGAGAGCAGCGGTGGGGACCAGCCCATCCGTGTTGTTCCCCAGGGGCATTTTCACCGAGGGCATCTCCTGCATCATCGCAGGGCTGCTGGGAACCGGCAATGGCTCCACCTCCTCCAGTCCCAACATCGGCGTCCTGGGCATCACAAAGGTACCAGCAACGGGGACGGGTCCCAGCTCAGTCAGGGGGACGGGTGCCATCACGCGCTGCCGGTCTCTCCGTGCAGGTGGGGAGCAGGAGGGTGATACAGTATGGGGCCGGCATCATGCTCGTGTTGGGGACCATCGGCAAGTTCACAGCGCTGTTTGCCTCCCTGCCCGACCCCATCCTCGGCGGGATGTTCTGCACCTTATTCGGTAACCTCGGCACATCAAACGCGGGGTGCCATTATCACCAGCCCCGGGCCACTTCCCCAGGGATTTGGGGGCTGGTGAGCCCGAGGGATGCTGGGCAGACTTTGAGGCTTTGGGTCAAGCCACAGCTGGGTTTGAACGCCCTTCGCTGCCTTTGCGGGCAGCCCACCCCAATGCCCAGCTCCCCGCCGGCAGCGGGGGCATCCCTCTCCGCCCGCAACCCCTCCACCGTCTCTGCTGGCAGGCATGATCACGGCCGTCGGCCTCTCCAACCTGCAGTTCGTCGACATGAACTCCTCCCGCAACCTCTTTGTGCTGGGCTTCGCCATGTTTTTCGGGCTGACGCTGCCAAACTACCTGGATTCCCACCCCAAGGCCATTAACACAGGTACCTGCCTGCCACAAAAAGCCCCAGTTTTGGGTGTTTAAGAGAGGAGGGCAGTTCTAGCAGGCATTTGCCCACTTGGGGAAGCAACGATTAATTAGGCAAATCCGGCTTATCGCAGCACGTCCCAGCTCAGTCCCTGCGCTCCCGCAGGTGTCCCCGAGCTGGACCAGATACTGACGGTGCTGCTAACGACGGAGATGTTCGTCGGGGGGACCATCGCCTTCATCCTGGACAACACCATCCCGGGTAATTAAAGCACATGGAGCAGCGGGAGGAAGCAGGGGGGTTGGAGGCAGATTCATTTTGGTTCAGAGCTGCAAGAGGGGATCGGAGGGCGAGGGGGGCAGATGCTGGGCTGCGGGCAGGCAGGGGCCGGGGGCCGGGCCAACACGGTGCTGCCGCAGGGACGCAGGAGGAGCGAGGGCTGGTGCAGTGGAAGGCGGGAGCGCACTCGGACAGCGCGGCGAGAGCCAGCCTGAGGAGCTACGACTTCCCCTTCGGGATGAGCGTGGTGAGGAGGAGCCGCTGGCTGAAGCACGTGCCCATCTGCCCGGTGTTCACGGGGTTCAGGGCCCGGGCAAGGGACAGCGACGCAACGGCGGCAGCTGCAGATGTGCAAGACAACACAGACGGGCTCTCTGTGTGCACAAAGGTCTGAGCATGGGGAGGGCTCACACCCTGGTGCCAGGGAAGCCGAGCCGAGCTCCCACGGGTGCTGTCGGGGTTCGCTAGCACCCGCCACGTCCAAAGGCAAGGCTTCTGGTGCTCGTCTCGAACACAGGGCTAGAGAAACTCAAAGGTGCCTTTGGGGACATCTTGAGCTCCCGGGGTGCCTGCCTGGGCACTGCCACCCCCCGTGCCATTGCTCCACCTCGAGCTTTGGCTTGTTGAGACTCGTTCAGCGCTTGCTGAGGCTTGTTAGCCACCACGGGAGCCAGCCAGAGCTCCCGGAGCCACGAGCTCCCACCTGGGGCCACGAATTTTCACACTGTGCCCGCGGCTTCGGCAGGGCTACCCGGCGGCTGAAGCGGGCTCTGTGCAGGGTACAGTACCCAGACCAGCGTTCGGATGCCTATTTTAAGATCATACATTAAAAACGAAAATAATAAAACTCAAGCCCACTTGCCCTACCAGTGTCTTTGCTGTGTCCTGCACCGCTCCCTCGTCCTCTCTGCATTTCGAAGGCTCCAGCAGCTTTCCAGGCTCCCTCCCAGGCTGCCCAACACGGAGACACACTAGATTTCATCCAGCCCTAGCAACCGCGTGTCCGGTGGGCTTCTGCCCAGCCCCGGCGCAGCGGGAGGTGGTTCAGCACAAGCCCTTGGCAAACCCGTCTTGCTGCGGAGGGCACTGGACGGCCAGTTCCCTCCTGGCCACGCCGGTGAAGCGCTGCCTCCTGCAGCCGGTTGGTTTGCGGCCGATGGCCTCGCTGCAGCGGCCGACAGCATCAAGCCCGTTTCTGGGCTTGGGTTTAGCACCAAAATCCAAAGCTGAAGACAGCATCGCATAACCCTGTCACGGGCTGCCCGCACCAGCGTGGTGGCACGGGCCACACATGCGCTCCCCAGCCCAAGCAGGAAGAGAAGTGGTGAAAAAAACCCGTGGGCTGAGACAACAGTTTAATAAGTAAAGAGAAGGAAAAAAAAAAAAAAAAAAACACCAAAAAAAAATCCCCAAGTGATGCAAATGCAATCGCTCACCACCTCCCACAAGCACAGGGATGCCCAGCCAGGCTCTGAGCAGCAGCAGAACCCCCTCTCTTCTGCTGTCCCCATTTGTTGTCCAGCATGATGTGACACAGCCTCCAACACCCTTCTGGTCAGCCGTGCCCCCTCCCAGCTTCTTGCCCGCCCCGAGCCTCCTCGCTGGGGCCGGAGCAAGAGAAAGAGAAAGCCCCGACGCCGTGCAAGCGCTGTTCAGCAACAGCCAAAACACCGGCGCGCCATCAACTCTTGTGACAGACCCCAAAGGCAGCAGGGCAGGGCCTGTGATGGAGAACGGCAGCTCCGTCCCAGCAGAGACGACGGGGAAGCTCACCTCTTCAGCAAACCTCCCCGTTATAGAGTTGGCTGGGATACAGCAAGGGTCAAAACAAAGCAAGCAACCAGGCCGTGGCAAGGCCGGCTGTTTGACAACAAGCCGGCTCCTAGCAGCAGCACTCAGTTGCCGATCACCCCGAGCTGATCGCGCTGGGGCTGAAACCCCGGGAGGAAGCTCCCCGACAAGCAACTGCTGCCAGCCGCGCAGGGGTTCTCTGGTGAAACTCCTGCTCCAGCTAAAAATAAGCCAGGGCACGGCAGCATGTTATTTCCTGACCTTCTGTCTTTAGGTGCTCGAGTCTAAACTATTTCCAAGTCAGTGGAAAAAACAGAGGAGTTTTGCTGCTTCTCGGAAGGCCAGCAGATCTCCGAAGGTTAGGAAGGGGGAAGGTAACGCTCAGTAAGGAGCCTGGGATAATTGCGATTAGCATTTTGCAGACCAACAGCAAAAAGAGCTGGTCTGACTGAATTCCTCTGAGAGGGGTTCCTCCACCCAAAGGAAGACCGACACAGCGATGTCATTACGCTGTAGGGTAACACCTGCATAAAGGCTTCGTCTCGCTCTTCCCCTTCTGCAGTACTGCATAATTTCTGAAGTGTTGGTTTAACTGGAGCTTAAAAAAAAAAAAAAAAAGAAGATATCAAGAGCGAGGTTGGACAAAGTTATGAAGCAAGAGCGGATCAGAGACCCCCCCCCCGCCCTCCGGCAGCCCCCGCGGGTTTACGGGGCGGCGAGCAGCCCAGCGCCACCGGCCGCCGCGCCAAAGCCTCCAGCAGCACGCGCCCGGCAGCGGCTTTATATAGTGCCATCAGCTGCGAACCAGGACGGCCCGTGCTGCCAGCAGCCGCGGAGCCGAGCTGGGATTAGCAGTGGTGAGAACGAAGGAAAATATGCCCAGGCAAGCGCAGAAAGCGGGAGGAAAGAAATAAAAGAGCGGTCAGAGTCCAACCTCAGATGAGTATTTTGGGCTATCGTGTTACGAACAGCCTTACAATGTCATCCCTTTCCTCTGCGCGTTGCCAAACGAGTTTCCATGCGAGATGCATATTCATGAGACAGCCACCACATCAGTTCTACTATTATTTATTTTTTTAAATATTTTTGAAAAAATATAATTTTTTTACAATATTTTCAACTTAAACACTATTCACACTGAACACGTATGGCAGCTTAACCTACCCAAATATGAAGTTTAAGAAGCCAAAACTGTTCTAGCTTTATTAAAAGAAAACAAAAAAAAGTTGTTGTGCTGTAGACTATTGTGTAGTGATGATTAAACAAAGCAAGGGAAAAGCACCACTCAAATCACTAATGCTAGGGTTTTCTTGGTTAAATCCAGCTATAATAAAGTTGTATGCTAAAAGTTACATAGGCAGTGCTATGTACGTATCTGGGTTCTTGGAAAAAATTGTGATGAAACTCACATCTCCTTTAACATAATCAAAGCGAAACGTTTCGAACATGATAACATACTGCAAAGTACAGGGAATTTCTTCCTTCCAATCGCTTGGATGTTAGTTCAGTAGCTGAGATCTACGACTCTGCACAGGTCTGTAAAATTTCTGTTAAAGCTCATGCTGCTTATAAGGAGCATGAAGTTTTTGAAGGGGAAAAATTAACATTAGTAACAATACTGATATTTCAAAGGAAAGTTAGCTAATTTGCATAACAATCAGATCTCCTTGCTTTCATTTTTAAGTTAAGGCATTATCAGGTGCAAACTAGCACCAGTTAACACATCTTTAGTTAAAAACAGACCATCGGTAGCAAATTCCAAGTCCTATTTAAAAAGACAGAGTCTGCAGAAGGTTTATGAACGTGGTACTTTGTCTCAACTTGACTGGTGCTTCTTACCTCACTGTCTCCTTTGCAGAGAGCCAGGGCCCAATTAGTTTCCATTAAACTTTTGACAGATTTACTTAATAACAGTCTCAGCACTTTTATTGAGCATGCAAGACTAACAAAACTTTGGCAATGCATAAGTGTAACACAGTGACAAGAAGAGAGAGCTTTTACAATTAAATCTTCTAATACTGGCTTCACAGTGTGGAAATTGTGCTACATCCACCAAGAGAGGGCCCAGTCTACTCAAATATTTAAGTACTTCACCCCAGGAACAAACTCCTTTGCGTTTGGATTCAGATTACTCTTGACCTGAGGAAGGGAAAAACGGAATTGTTATTTTCATCTTACATCTGCAAGCGGAATACAATTCTAGGCAGAGAGCATTAGGAACAGTTTATGGATTTAGAGTAACAGCCAGGCATATAATAGGGTTTTAGCACATCCCCAGAGTCTCTATAATCAGTAGAAAAGCCCACTCCTCTGTGCTTCGTACCTGAATTATCCAGCCTTCCTTAGCATCACCTGGACATTTCAGTCAGACAAGGGCTCAGGGAACACGAAACAAGAAAACCACAGGTGTGCATCAAATACAGCAACTTTGCTTAATGCCGAAATACCTTTTTCTGAAGTTGAACTGTTAAAATGTGCCATGAGGTTTTTAGATGTTGCTTATTTAAGCAAGAGGAGACTTGTTCCAGGAACTTAAGCCACTTCTGGGAATTTAAATGTATATGAGCGTTGTATTGATTTTTTAAATATCTATGTCTGTGACTACCTGTCCTCCCACTTGGCAAGCCGCTGTCTACAACGTGCTGCAGTTACAGGTGGGCAGCCAGCATCTCCAAAATGAGCTCTTGATCATAAAGAAATGGAGGATTAGGCTTTTGTGTTGTTAATTGAGTCTAAAACTGCTTCCTGCAGCTGCTTAAGCTTGGAAAAGTAGGGGTTTGCATCTGAGTTTCACAGCAGTTGTGTGACATGACAATGTGGTTTTTTGTACTCTGTATCAGTAACTTTGTATTTTGTTAGGGAAAATATGTGCATGCTGACCTTTTCTTTTAGTTAAGCTCTGGACAGAAGTCATACAGCAAGAAACAGGGAAATAATCATAGTCTAGCTGCTTTCCTCTTCCTTAGGATTTCTGCAAAGAGATCTGCTACGGTTCACACCATCCACACCAGAACCGAGAACACGGCTCATACCTACCCAACACCTAAGTGTTGGCAGACGCCAAATTAAACTTTTGCAGTCCTGCCACCGAATGGCACTTCACAGGGTCAGCGTGCTTTGCTCACTGCTTTTCTTTCGTAACGTTACGCATACCCAAAGCCACTTGCATTTACGCCATGGGCCAGGAAAGGCACCACATAGTTATGAAGAAAACCACTGAATAAGTCACATCACTTGAGGAAACATCCCTTACCCAACTGTTCCAACATTTCCCCATCCACCATAGCTAGGCACGGTTTAAGAGTCTCTGGCCTATGTGTAAAGGATTTTCTCGTGCCATTATCAGCAACAAAACCCAGCCTTGGACAAAGAGAGAGGTCAAACTTTAGAAATACGATGAGAAACTGAATTTACCACCAGATCCTCCAGTGATGAGCTGTCACTGATAACAAGGTCATTGAACTGGTCCTGGATTTGATCCATTGTTTGTGGGAGATCACGGGCTGGAATAAACCATTCGTGCTCCTCCTCTTCTTCCAGCATCTCCTGGAAACAGCGCTCAATAAATTCTTCTTCCCACAACTCCTCTTCGATCTATACAAC